GAGGAAATGTAGGTGGGTTAGAAAACCCCAAAGGCAGACATGAAGCAAAGAAAGTGTTAACCACAAGCAGTTCTATCTCCAGTGAGTGCATGTCGGTTCCCAACAGCAGACTGGAGTCAGTACACACAAAAAGTTACACACTATAATACTTGGAGTCTGCAGGCATCAGCTACACCAAGCCCCAGTCTAACCCTAATAACTTGGGAAAGTCAGGACACACCTTGCAAGGAGCTGGACTATGTTTCAAAAAAGCCTTTTTGTTCAGAAATTCAAGTTTCAGCAGTGGGGCGGTGAGGTAGAGTACAACAGTGTTCTTGAATCGATGGCTCATTCAGACTGCATTTCCCTTCTCCCATTTCCACTTTTCCAGAGGCTGGCTTTGGCTCTTAGAGTGGTGACACATGAATCCTAGACTGAAGGGAGACTAAGCCATACTGAACAAGTTTGTATGGAGAGATCACCTATAACAACAAATTAGCTGATATATTAAATGAAGTCTGTTAAGTGCAATGAGTTGACCTGCTCCTTACCTGTTCAAATGTGGCTTTTGAAGAACTGTTGCATTTCATTGTAGTGGTAGTAACATGATGCTGACTTTGCAACATGCTTTAGCATGTTGAAGCTTCTCTAAAAATAACATTAATAGAGAAATTTAATTAGTTTAATTCAGTGCTGAAAAAAATCCTAAAATCTGCCCTTGGAACAGATTCCTTTATTAAAAATAAGACAGAGCCCCACACAGTCACAGTATAATCCATTTATTAGCATACCTTGTGAGCCATTGGTGTTGATCCAAGGGACATGACAGTTTTGGCACTTGACTGATTTCAGAGGTACTCAGCCCCTGTTCAGTAGAAAGGGATTTTAATAGGACTGAATGGGCTATTACACAAATGAGTTTTTCTTGATGTGGAAAATTAAATATTTTCCCAAACAAGTAAAAATAGAGCCCAGGAGACATGCACTGGTCCAGGTCACAGTGCCTGATTCTACAAGGAGCAGTTGGTTACCACCAGAGGTGATTCTGGTCCCTCCATCTGCAAGGAACTCCCAGCAAGTCTATTGGGATAGTGTTAAATACCACAGTGCAGTTAATCTCTCAAAAGCTTTCATCTGATTGCTGAATATACACATAAAAACCTGTCTTCAAGTGGTTGATGGATCACTGCAGCTCTTTTGGGGTGAAGAAACTTCAGGATATTGGCTTCAGAAAAAAAGGAAGACAGACAAAAGGCAGACCTACCTCTCTTACCCCTGAGACAGCAAATATCCACATTCCTGGTTCCTCACCAATGCCTCCACTAATGCCTTTGAAAAACTGATCTGTTATTCTCTGCTACAAGTGTACAAGGATTACAAGGGTAATCAATGTCCTGTTCAGGTTAATAAACAGCTGCCTGATTAATTACAGCATAGAACATAATTAATAGAAATCATCAAAACAGTGTTCAGCCACAGCAAAGGGATAAATCTTTAATCCAGCTTCAGATGGCCAAAGCATGGATGGTCACCAGTGCAGGCATTGCAGGTCAGGATGACTCCAGCACTGGGTTAGCCTTTGTAGCACTGGGGTTTTCCCTCGAAGAGGGATACCTGGAGCACTAATAGCTGCTCCTTAGGCCCCTACCACAACCACATTTCTCCTTCTGCCAATGCTCCTAGCCAGTCATAGTGATGTTCCCTTTCTCACATAACCAGCATGTGCCACGCTGCTATTGGAAACTGTCTCACAGCATCCACATGGCACAGTGCAGCCACCAGCAACACTGACTGAGCTCTCAGCTCCTCGAAACAGTGTATCTGCATTAGCCTTATCCAACAGTCATGCTGCAAAGGTGGGCTGACTGGCCCTTCCAGTCTGTCAGCCAAGGCAAAGCTCTACAGATGCTCCCTGCCCAGAGGTCCCCAGATATACCTGCAGCAATTGCTGTGAGCTCAGTGCAACTGCTGCACCTGCCTGAGACACAGGGAGAACTAACCTCAGTGGGTTTTCATCCCCTTGTAACAAGGCTGCCACAAAGATCACACTAGCAAGTTTAAGGCTGGCTCCAGCATAGAGACATACAGCACTAAAATCACTTACAGCATTGCCTGCTATAGAAGATCGTACTCAAATAATCAGCAGGTGACACAGCCTCCCCTGGCAAACTGCATTCAGTTCTGGTTACCAAAGTTTAAAGATCCAGCAGAAAGAGAAGACATGGAAAGATAGTTCAGCATGTTACGAGACACCTAGACAGTTTGGGTTGAAGAGAGACAGAGAAGCCACAGTCTGAGAAAAAGAACTATCTCTAGAGTAATGAACAACAGAGAATATAAAACCAGGCTCCTTATTTCGTCTCATGGCTGAGAACACAAGGACAAATGGGATTCGATAAAAACAAAAGGCAGTAAATTCAGGACCCATAAAAAGAAATTATGTGCTATGGAGAATAAAATTGCATTGGTTTTCATTGCCAGAAAATATTGAGACAGAGAGCTTAGTTTGATTAAACACAAAATTAAAAACTTAAACATTTACATGGAAGATGAAGGCTGGTTACATTAAATAGTTTTTTAAAAGTTAGGGATATAAACTCTTATACTTAGAAAAAAAAGGACTTACAAAAGGATAGTGCGTAGTGTTTTAACAACACCTACAGGACCAAACACTTGTACTTCAATTTTTAATAATAATAATAATAATAATAATAATAATAATAATAATAATAATA